GCAGATTTTTCACTCGATACCCGCCTCGCACTCTCTCGTGCCCCAGAGAGCTTTCCCAACCTGTCAGTGGGCTGGTGCTGGGATTTGGTCCAACGTCTGACGTGTTTGATGTTTTCAAGAAATATCTTATTTTGAAAAACACGGCACAGAACCCATCTTTTCGGCAGTCGAATAAGGACGCTGACAATCGCAAGGTATTCAGTGACTTTTCAAGGACACGCGGAATCCCTACGGCCTTCGCCGTCTGGAAAAACTACACGGTAATTTCATGGATGAAGGGTTTCTTGATTTACTCAAACTGGCATGCTTACGATCGCATCTGCTTATTCTGTTCGAATTTCTTAGTCGCTGAGTGTCCTGTCAACATGCGACTCTATGGAAACTTTTACTCTTCTCACGTACCAGTCGGCAAAATCAAGCGAGATCTTCTTTGCTCCAGCCAACCGCATCTTGGACAACGTACAAACGGATAGTTACAACCAAATTCTCCCGAAACCGTTTTGGAATCTACACGTAAATTGTAGACCGTTGGCTAACCGTCATACTTAATAAACACTAGTTCTTGAACGATATCTAAGTGCAAACTGTACTAATGGGTTATTTTCAAACATTATTCCAATTGTGCTGTTTTATTTACCTAGTTATTTGCATGGCAGACTATGTATTTCTAAAAGTTAAGCTTTACAACGACTTTTGACCTCATCAGAATTTCTACTTTTCTAAAAATGGTCATTTCTAAACGATGTAATATTATTTTTAATATTTATTCCATGTTTCATTTCGGTCACAATCACTCATTATTAATTCAGAGTTTCGATCCATCCATTTAGGCCGATTTTCAAAGAGCTAGAGATTTTTCACAAACGTTGACAAATTTTAAGCGATACCACAGGTACTGTAGCAGTAAGTTTGCATTCGAAAACGCGAAGTAAATCCGAAGTTACTCTGATTTTCAGTTATTATATCTTGTATTAACCATGTTAATATATCCTCTAGTTTCTGCTCTCGTAACATTGCTGCGGCTTTGCCGGTAGTATATTTGCTTTTCCGATCTATCGAATCCCTGTATTTCGGTTTTCATTTCTCAGTATCGCTATGTACCTCTTAAAGTCACATCATTTTTCTACGTCTCGCTGTGTTACCATACCGTCCTGTGAACACACGCAACTTTTCACGAACTTGTCCAACGGTGAATTTGTTTACTTCGTCAAATAAATCGCAATCGTACTTTGCCGATTTTGAATGTACGTCTGTGCAGTGTTTTCATCCCTGTCATAAAAGCTTTCTTGATGTGGGTTTTTGTTGTGCCGGTGGACTACATAAATGCAATTAGGGTGTTCTTGCTCGTTTTTGTGCAGAGGGGTACCAACGGCAATAGCCCTGTTGAAGATATGTCACGATAAACTTTTGACGAGAATCGTCCTTTCAGCCAACAGTTAAACCTCCGTTACTCAGATTTTCTAAGCCGATTGCTGGTCATGTCATAAATGCTAGATGTCATGAGTTTTGCGATGTTATTAGGCTACCACTCTAATGGTTTACATAACCGGTTTGGGATGGTGAATTGAAGCCTTCCCAAGAATTTTGACTGCGCAATTTCACTTAGTTCGTTGATGTTTTCTGCGTGGGTACGTCATATCGAACTCCTGTGTCTAGTTTAGTTTTTCCCAACCTTAGGCGCACATCAGAAATTACTATTTGAGCGATCTCGTTAGTGGGGAAGGTAAGGTAGAGTCAGGATATGCTAATTTGAGACTACTTCGCGCAATTGCTCGCACATGATGCTTCTGGGGTGCCTCTCTTTAAAAGACATTGAAGGAAATAGCAAGCGAGTTTTGCTACTTTGGTAATGTAAATGGAGTTTTATTGTAGCTGCGGGAGGCCGTATGCAAAGGATTTTAAAAAGCCAAACA